AAAGCACATGTTACTCCGCCTCCAACTCCGTCAACTACGACTATGATGCTCACATTGGGTAGCAGGTAGCGTCATAGCGATGATGCCACTGCGACCCTCTCATCAAGGCATGTCTGCGTAGTGACAATTGAATGTGGAATTCGAAGGTGAATGAGCGGCTACGACTATCTGAGGGAGAGCACAAAGAAAGACGGAGGTGAAGAAAGGAGAGAAGTGAGAATGGAGAGGACAGGAGATAAAATGATTTAGGATTTGAATTTTTTTTTTTTTTAACGAGGTGTCCCAGCTTACGCCAAACTATATCCTCGTCCCTGAACTTCCAGCCCCTCAGGAGCTCAGGGAGGTAAATCGCGGGATGTGCCCAAGTTGACCAGGGTTCGAACAGCCTTTATACTCCTGGCCCCAAGGGAGTCTCCTCCATGGTTATTACATCACCAAACTGCTCCAACCCTTCTTCTGGTTATTACAACACTCAGCTGCTCCAACCAGGAAACGAACTCCCCACGCTAGGGTTGCGAGTCCCGCACTGTCCTTCCTTTGCCAACTTGGATGTGCCCCGGGGGGCAATTTAGGATTTGAATTTGTTGGATGGAATATGGTGTAAGTGCATATAAATTAATTTATAATATTATTATTATTATTAAAATATTAATTTATAATGTTTGAATTAATATCTAAAATTTGAATAAATAAATTTTAGATCAGATTTTTGAATTGGGAAGTTAAAAGGCATGTGTGGGTGTAATTTTCACAAATTTTAATGTGGCCAAACAAGGATTTGTAAATCTAGAAGATCGAGAAAAAACAAACCCACCTAAATTTTGAAAAAATTGCCTACTAACCAGAATATGTCTGCATTCAAGTTTTGCGTTCTGAAATTTCTATGTGACATGTAATATGTTCTCACTAACTCGGGCTTGTCCCACATTGACCAACTTCTCTACCACTATATAAATGCCATACATGATTACCAATTCCATCTAAACTCATTTTACATAAACAATTGGGTATACATATATAGAAGTACTTTTTTCATAATGGTGGTTACTAGCAATGGAAAATGTGAGTGGGCTAAAGAAATGAAGGAATTTGATGAAACAAAAGCTGGTGTCAAGGGACTGGTGGATGCCGGAATATCGAAAATCCCTCAGTTCTTCGTGCATCCACCGGAAAGTTTGGCAACACCAAGTAAAACCACCAAGAATGTTCAACTTGAGTTGCCCACAATAGACTTTGAGGGGGTCCAAACTGGAGGTGCAGGGCGGAAGGAGGTCGTGGAGGAGATTAGGAAGGCAGCAGGGATTTGGGGCTTTTTTCGAATAGTGAATCATGGTGTTCCATTACATATAATGGATGCCATGTTGGAAGCTGTTAAACGGTTCCATGAACAACCAGTGGAGGAGAAAAAGCTTTTGTATTCTGCTGATAGTAGCCAAAGAGTTAAGTTTAATAGTAATGGACCCCTACGTGAATATGATTCTGCATGTTGGAGGGATATCTTGACTTGTGTTTTTCATGATGACCAATTGGATCCTGAAGCTATTCCTCTAACTTGCAGGTACCACATAAACTCAACAACTACTCCTACTCATAGTGATTATCACCAGTTTAGTGGATAGTGGCCCCTGATTAATCGTTCAATAGAATTGTGATGCATTTTATTGCATTAGATAATTCAAATGAATCAAGGGCAAATGACACCTTGACTAGTGCCGATCACCAATAACATTCATTTAGTAAAACACAAATTTAGTTTCTTTTCAAAATTCTTTTTTCCACGTATTTATTTTCAACCTCACATTCATACAATAAAATATTTTACACGAAAACCCAAAACATTTTCCTACTTTTTAACCATATATTCTCCAAAAAGTCACTGTTCAAAACAATGTTAAATGGCCACGAAAATAAAACCTAAATTTGAAATAACATGTCATTTTTTGCAGAAAGGAAGTGCAAGAATACGTGAAATGCATGATCCAAATGAGGGAAATAATGGCCGAGTTACTATCAGAAGCTTTAGGGCTCAGCAGTGATCACCTTTCAAGTATTGAATGCATGAAAAGTGAAGCATTGGCTTGTCTCTACTATCCAATATGTCCTGAACCTGAGAAGACACTGGGCACAGACAAACATTCAGACACGACTTTCTTAACATTGCTAATGCAAGACACTATAGGCGGCCTCCAAATTCTTCATGATGATCAGTGGGTCGACGTGCCTCCAGTGCGCGGAGCCCTCATAGCCAATATCGGTGATCTGATGCAGGCGAGTTTGACAGTATTAAATAGTATAATAAATAAGATTTTAACTAGTTCATATCGTGCCTGGGAAACTAATTACTTGATTGAATATTTCCCTTTCTCAGATTATAAGCAATGACAAATTCATAAGTGTGGAGCATAGAGTGTTGGCTCAACCGGTCGGGCCAAGGATCTCAGTTGCATGCTTCTTCACCCCAAGTCTTAGAGCAGGGGCAAAGCCATTTGCACCTATAAAAGAGATTCTGTCTGTTGAGAATCCAGCCTTATACAGAGAATTCTTATTCAGGGAATATTGTCAGTATTACAAGACAAAAGGACAAGATGTTACCTCGGCTCTTCCTCATTTCAGGATTGAACGGATCCTTCCATAGTGAACACTTCAAAAAAAAAAAAGGGCCAAAATCTTTTATCATTTAGATGAATATCTTTCTACCGTTTGGGTTTGTTTTACTATATTACGTGAATAAAAGACGTGCATTCCAAATATTCATTTCGTTGTGCTTTATTCATGTCGGAATATGTTCCCTCCTTTGCCTGGGGAAGATCTGACGACTCCTGTCCTAAAATAGATTGGCGGGTTAAGAATTAAGATTTGCTACTGCCAAAGAGGCCAGGAACAAGCTTCCGCGTCTCCCGTCCTTCTGGTTCTTGTAAACGGATTATCCTTCTTCCTTTCCTTTTTTTTTTTTTTCTCTGTTTCTTTCTTGTTATGAATGTTAAAGCTTCTGAACATGGATTCACCTGTCATACTTATTATTGGCAAAACCAGTTTAATGTCAATTTCCCTCAATTTGACAAACTTTACAAATCATTTATTAATTGTCAAACATCATTTTTAATCATACATAATCAGTTTAATGTTAATAATTTTGTGTGGCCTAGGTTGGTATTACTGAGTTGACCATGAAAAAGTACTCATGGATGTAGAGAATTTGAGTTGTTAAAATGTTTCACGTTGACTCGAATTAATTTTATTTTATAATTTTTCTTTGGGAGAAAAAGGAAATTTCCAAGTGCGTGAGCAAAGCAAGTTTGTTTTTAACTTTTAGGTTGTCTTCCCCAATTAAGAAAGGAAATTACAAATCAAAAGCACAAAGAATAACTATTGAGTCTAGAATAATGCTAGTATTGGTTAGTGATGTTATATTTAAATTATTTTAATTAATTGGTCATCTTTATTTTATCTTAAATAGCATATTTAAGATGTCAAATCAATTAATGTCATATCGTAGATGATTGCTAAGCAACGATTGTAAATAGCAATACACTTAAATTACTATCAATTTTTGTAAATATGTGAGTATTATATTTCATAATTGAAAAAATTGGGATTGAGCTCTCTAAACTTTTTTAATTTTTACATGATGTGATTATGGGTCCTTAATCTTTAAACGTGAGGTTTCGAGTCCTCAACTTATTCAAATATCTGAATTTGAGTCCCGACATTAAAATTGCATGGGACTTTTAGCTGAGAGTTAATTATATTTGCATCATTTTTGTTCATTGCACTATATTTTAATTGCAATGAAGGTCCTCAATTTATGCTCATTATCTCATTATATCCTTAACTTTTTCTCGTTCCATTTTTAACATTAACATTAATATATCTTCTACTTAATTATAATTTTTGTTTGATATTCTGTTAGCTATTTTATTATAAGGGGCAAATATTTTATCAAATTTTTGTATTTGTCGTGTTCTTTGCTTTTTTTAAAAAATATAAGAAGTAAATAATTCTTCATACGTTCTTCTAATGGATTATTTAGACACAAACCATCATGAATGATAAGATAGCAACTATTAGAAGGATAAGAATACAACGAAAAATTTTGAGAAAATAAATACAATAATAAGCAAAAGTTGAAAACCTTTATTGCAATAAAAATATGGTGCAACGAACAAAAATTACAATGTGAATATAATTATCCCCATTCACTGCTCGTTTTATAATTATAATTATATATATATTTTTAAATATATTATTTAAATTGAAAAAATAAAATGATACGAGCGGGGATTGGGGATTCCCTGCTCCGTTCAAAGCAGGGCACTCTGATGCTGAATTGGGACGAGAACTTTGTAACTCTTTAAATGAACCAAAAAAAACGAGGGAGGGAGAGAAGAAAAGGAGATGGAGAGGAAGCCTACATATATCCACTAGTCCAGTTACACTCGATCTCACAATGTAAGATATTATCATCACTTAGCCCAAAAACTATAGCTCACAGCACAAATGGAATTCACCCAACATCATTCAGAATCAAACCTGAGAATCCACTCGACGCCCAATCCATTACGGCAGCTCCAGTTTTAAGGATGCTCCAGCATTACCTCCTCAAGTCCACAATCCATAATTGAAGAACTTCTAACACCACCAACCATCCAAGCCACTCCCAAGTTAGAATTCATGTAATGGAGAACCATTTTTCAGTAGAGAGATAATCAGAAAGTACTACGGTTTTAAAGTGATTATATGATCTGGGACCTTAAAGTATCCAGATTCTTGACCATCATTCATCTCTCTATAGGATTTTCTTCACTGCCATTAGTATATTCTTTAAGATAATATCAGGGATGGCCTTGCCAGGAAAAACAACCAGCTTCTGGGGTCTCTTTTCTTAAGGCAATGTATAAGAATCAAGGCACACGTTCAACATTATGCTTCCTAAATATGAGTTTATAACCACTTCTCTTACATGATACAATGCAATAAGTCAAAGAGGTGAGATAAAGATAAAGCCATGATGATGGATGCAACAATCTCACTGAAGCTTGGTCAAGTAACAAAAGAACACAACCTAAGGAGACAGTCCATTTCAAATTCATTTGTAGATTTCACGTTTCACTAGTACATTCCACAAAAGTGTAAGGCAACATAATAAACTACAAAAGAATCTAAAAATGAAAAGTTCACATACAATTCTTCAGTGAATCGCCAGCTCCCTGAAAGAAGCAACAAGATAGAGCAAAATCAGCAATAAAAATGCCAACAAGTGAGATAACCACAGCAGAAGTAGTGGATTCTCCAACCCCTTTGGCACCTCCCAATGTGGTTACCCCCCACGCACAGCTCACGACAGATATTATTGCACCAAAAACCTGTGATTTGATCATTGCACTGATTATATCCCATGATCTTAAAGCTCTTTGAGCAGAATCCAAAATAATGTTTATGCTAATTCCATAAACAGCATCAGAGAGAAGAGCACTAGATGCCATGCCTACTGTAAAACATATTAGAGTTAAAAAGGGTAAAGCAACACAAGAAGCAATCACTCTTGGTGTCACCAGATAATCAACAGGGTTCGCACCAAGAACTATCAATGTGTCAGTTTGCTCAGAAACCTGCATTGTGCCCAATTCTGCAGCAAATGCACTTCCAATACGTCCTGCAACTACAATTGCTGTAATAACGGGACTCAGCTCCCTTGAGAAGGCAAGAGCTAAAACCCCACCAACAGATCTATTTAGCCCTAATCTGGTGAACTCCCTCACAAACTGGATAGTGAAAGCCATGCCCACAAATGCCGATGTCAAGAGACAGACACCAACAGATTTTGGACCAACCCTCTCTAGCTGTTGCAGTGTATTTTTCCAGTGAACTTTTCCCTTCAAAGTCCTAACAATCACCTGCCCTGCCAATATAAGGACAGACAAGCCCCTCCACAAGTACCTGGGTGGAGACCATTTACTCAAGAATGTCTCTGGTTCATCATTTGGCAAAGATTTTTTGATTTTATCATCTTCGGACACTGTGAAACATGGGTGACCATCACTCGAGTCAAAAGCCAAGAATAATCTGCTATGTTGAATGGGAACAAAAAACTTGTGACTCTTGGAACCCCTAGCAAAATCAACTTTTCCAGCTAACTGACAGGATCTCCATGATAATATATTTGCTGGACAGCTTAATTTGATTGAGCTATCTCTGCAATTTGGCATATAAGTTAAAAAATGGATAATTAAAACCAAAGAGAAGAAAAAAAGGACCAAACTTTGCATCAAGACCTATTACAGAAGTAAAAGGCTGGGCGAATTTGGGCAGCTGCTAACATGTTAGGCCCCTGGCTATCCAAGTGTAAAAGAAATAATCTTCGGACGTCTTTGCACTGAGAAGAGAATGTTGTCAAGCCTTGCTGAGCTAAACCTATGCTATAGTGTCTTCAGGGAGATGGACTGCAAGTGGAACAGATGACAATCGGGGATGAACACCTTAAGCAATTTTAATCAAGTTGAAATGAACAAAGAAGTTCAAACTTTATTTATCGGAAAGCTACCATATGAACCTTCTAGTTATCTACAAACAAGCCAACAAAAAAATCCTCCATTTATTTGGCCTTCTTAAAATTCTAATATCCAGGAACGGCGTGTTAGTAAAGCCATCAACAAATACACCACAATTAGTATTCTTAGCATTTAGTTTATAATCACGTTATCCGTTATAATAATTCCTTGAGGAGTTAAATGCTCCTTCAAGATTCACACCAAAGAAGAACCCAAACCCACAATGACGGATGCACACATTTTTGAGTTAGTAGGGTACAATCAAATTTGCAAAATGATAAGATAAATATGAGTCGATTTTTAGCATACTTATTTTCCCTACATGATAAGGAAAGATGACCAAAAAATACAACTACGACAATTTCAACAGAAAACTCAAGACTAACTAGAGCCTCATGTGTAGAAACATACTTAGTTTGGTGCCGACTAGGACAAGTGGTATTCCAGGAGCAAAATGCAGAAGTTCGAGGATCCACTGCCCAACAAATATCATTAAAAATCATATTAAATAATATAATACTATCATTTGCTAAATTTTGTTAAAACTTTATCATATTCAAAAAACTCATAAAAAATGGTTTAAAAACTCCTAAAAACATGGAAGATATTTATCTCCATATATTGTAATCAAAATAATTTGTAAATATTACAAGCTTTAAGCTTTCTCATGTATTCAAAAGAACCGACAAAATTACTTTCCAAATTATGTTGTATATAATTATTAAGCTCGAAATTTATCCCAAAACACTCAATAAAACAACAAAAAAGCAAGAATTCAATTATTCATTACCATTTCTAATATCAGAAGCTTTCAGAATCTAAGACTTTTCGTCAAATGACAACAAACGCCAGAAAACCCATCAAATATTGCTGTCGCTAGTTTGAATTTTTTATGAAATTCCCAAATAAAATCTCACAAATCACTAAATAAATCTCACAAATCACAGATCACAATTCAACAAATCACACTGATGATCCATCAGAAATCATAGTTCATATAATGAGATTCAGTAATAGAATTGGAATTAAGAACGATTTAAATCAAAAGCTTTAGCTAAACACTCTTAATTAAAGGTTTGAACAGCTAATAAGGCATTTTAGCATACATGTCGTGGGCATACAACTAAGAAAAAGAAACTCAAATGCAAATAAATAAATTTAACTAATCAAAACACAATAATGAGTTTCTGTTAGTGTTACTTAAAAATTCAATTGCAGCCGAACCGCTTACAGCAAGCATAGAGGGAGGGAGAGATCGGCGGAACAGTGAACGCGAGCTCTCTTCCACAGGTTCTTCAAAGGTTCGCAATGGATTCTTCTTCAATAGGAGTAGTCAGCAACAGAATCGAAACGAACAACACATCGATTTTCCAAGGAAGTTAAAAAGGGTTTTGATTTCCCAACGGGTTCTTCTTTTTCTCAATAAAATCGATTTTGCCAGGTGCAAATGACAAGCAGGTAAAAATCAATTTTAAAAGTGCTAATTGGGTCAAATTAATACATTTTGGGATTTTAGCTTTTGACTAGATTAATATTTTTAAAATAAATATATTAAATCATAATTTATAAACTACCTAAAACATCCTTATTCAGCATCACTAAAAAACTTAATTCTCCATTTTCTTTTCTCAAATCAATTGAATTCCAGAATCCTAAATCCATCATTTTTGTTCTCTCTTCACAATCCCCAACCCCCCTAATTTTTCTTCTTGGCTTCTTCATCTCCAGATCCTTCTACCATTAAAAATTGATTTCCTTCATCTTCTCGAGTGAAATAAGGAATTTGGTATGAAAGTTTCATCAATTTTTCCAAGATCGAAACTCGCAAAAAAAAAGTACCCATACGTTAATAACCACTTCTAAGAACCAATTTCACGGTGGGCTATTCTTAGGTATGAATAATTCCTCAATTTTTCATTTTTAATACGATTTTATGCCAAAAAAAAAAATTAGAGAAATTTGTGACAGGAAGAATTATACCAATATGGTGGGCTTTTTTAGACATTTAAATTTATTCATTTTTTTGTATGTTGTAATTAACTTTTGGAACTCAATTTTCTCTTCATATTTTTTATTATTGCTTTGAATTACACCAAAAATACTTAACAATTCAACTTTCTTCATGTAACTACAAATTTGAAAAAATGTTATTTCTCTGCTTATTCTTCACGATGTAGATATATAAGCACATTGATAAAAAAAAAAAATGTAGTAGAGTGTTCTGAGTATGAGATATTAAATATATACATATGGGCTTATAAGTAAATAACGTAAGTGATTTTGAAAATTGCAACATATTATTCTTTTTTATTCTAATTAGTGTTGAGCTGATAAGTGGAAACAAAGATGGCAATTTAATAGAAAGTGCTATCAAAAATTAGATATTTAAGTATTTGCTTGTTGAAAATATTTAAATGTCGTGTTAGTTGCAATATGAGTGTAATGAAATAGATATTATGTGATATCATTGAAGTCTTAGCAAATTGGTACTATTTTGCAATTTGCATTAAATGGAATATAGTAGGGTAATAAAAGAACGTGATTTTTTACTGTAACTAATATATGGTAATGTTTTGCATGTTTTTCCATGAT